TAGCCATCTTGGCCTCCAAGGAACACTCTGGTTGCACTTCTTCCAAAACAGATCTATTGGTTCTTTTGGCAGTCCATGGCACTTTCAGTATTCTCCTCCAACACCACAACTCAAAGGCATCAATTCTTCTACCTACGATCTTTCTTTTTCACTGTCCAGCTTTCACATCCATATGAGGCTATTGAAAACACCATAGCCTGGGTCAGGCGCACCTTAGTCCTCAAGCTGACATCTCTGCTCTTCAATTTATTTTATTTAGCTATACAACCATGGATTCCAAGGAGCTAATCTTTACCATGGATCAACTACAAGGTTTCTTTACTATATCCATACTACAGAAAGGAGTTACAAACTCCAATGCCTACAGGCATCAGATAAGTAACATATACCATGTCAGAAAGGGGTTATAGGAAACTGAACAGGGCAAGTCTAAATCTAAAGGAAACAGTTATCACAGTCTCTGAGGACATCTAGATCAATTGGCATATCACAGTTCATAAGACAATGTGTTACATCTTACTGTGGTAAATAACAACTACAGTCTTAAAAGCTATTGAGTGGCCTTCTAATAATGCAACTATAGGTTTCTCCTCATCTAAAGCAACGAAGAGTGAAGAAAATCAAACACTCAAGGAAACAATTAGTCCACAGAACTAAGGAATTACTCAAACCACAGCTTCCACTACCTGGAGACCAGAAGAACTAGATGGTACCTGGCTACCACTACTAACTGTTCTGATTAGGAACACAAAGGTCCTGGACAACATGGAAGAATAATGTGGGACCCCTGAGACTGTGGTCCTTAGATAACCTTTTCAATCTGAATCTGAACCTATCCCAGACCTATAAATACCAATCAAAATCATAGCTACACCTCACACCCACTCAACCAAAAAACCAAATCCACTGCTATCTATTTGATTCTGACTCATAACAAACCTATGTAGGATTTTCAAGATTGTAAATCTTTATGAGCGCAGACAGCCTCATCTTTCTTTCACATAGCTGCTGGTGGGTTTGAATGATCAACCCTGTGGTTACTAATCCTGTACCTATCCTATAGTGTCACCAGAGTTCCCTTCATACCCACTAGGATGACAACAAAACAGAAACAAAAAATAACAGATGTTGATAAAAGATGTGCAGAAATTAGAACCCTCATCTATTACTTGTAGGAATGCAAACTGTTGTACTAGTAGGGTAAACAGCTTGGCAGTTCTTCAAAAAGTAAGTTAAACACAGGATTACCATGTGCCTCAGAAATTCTACTCCTAGGTACATGTTAAAAAAACTGACAACAGGTGTTGAAAAAAACTTGCTCTTGAATCTTCACAGCAGCACAATTCATAACAGCCAAAAGGCGAAAACAACCCAAATATCCAAAAATGGATGGACAAATAAAATGTGGTACAGCCATAAAAAGGAGCCCTGTTGGTGCAGTGGCTAAGCACTCAGCTGCTAAGTGAAAGGTCTGTAGTTCAAACCCATTAGCCACTCCTCAGGAGAAAAATGTGCCAGTCTGCATTCATAAATATTTACAAGCTTAGAAACTCGATCAGGCAGCTCTACTCTGTCCTATAGTGTTACTATGAATAGGAAACTATTGACAACGAGTTTAGTTTATTTTTTTTCGTTTGGTGTATCCATACAAAGGGTTATTTTTCAGCTATAAAAAGAATAAAGTAGTGATACACATGATAGCAAAGCAAAATTAAAGCGACAGAAAGCAGGTTAGTGGTTGCTGGAGGCTGCAAGTAGTGGAAACAGAATGTAACTAAATTAGTAAAGGGTTTTCTTTTGGGGTGATGAAATGTTCTGGAACTCGATAGTCACAATAATTGTACAACACTATAAACATACTAAATGCCATTAAACTGTATACTTTGGTGAATTTTATATTATATTTTTATTACAATAAAATTTTAAATTTAAAATAACTTGTATAAAAAAACATAATAAAGTTTCATGTTGGGAAAAACAATAGAAGAGGAAAACTGATACAAGTAATTTATAAAAGGTTACTATCTGAATTTATATAAAGACTTGATGCAAAGATATTAAATCAATCTTCAAAGTTCTCAGACTAGTTCAAAACTGATGGATAAATTATATACCAAGAAATAATTACAGTAAAATTCCACACTGAAATGGCCTGATCACTAGAAGTAAATGCTTATTAAAACAGCTTTTCGTAAATACATTATCAAAAGAAAAGATTTGTTGTGGTCAGGTCCTAGGGAAATAGATATAGTTAATTATCTCCAGTGACACTTTAAACTGGTAAAGAGAATAATCTTACAGCATGCAAACAAGCAGGAAATAAACTGGAAGGGGGATGGGACATCAAAGACAATTCAAAATGAGATACTCTAAACATTCAGTAAGTAGACTATTGTTGGTACCTAAGCCCAGTGTAATATATGTATGTACATGTATGTGTGCATCTATGTGTATATATGCACATATATACTTAAAATGACAAGTGTAACTATCTAATAGATAAAAATATATTTAACAAAGAGAGTAAACTGAACAACAAAATAGTACATGCAATGATTCTGGTGTGGCGTTGTGAGTTAATGCACTAGATTGCAATGTCAGTGTGAACCACAAGGTCGGTGGTTCAAGCTCACCAGCCGCTCCTCGTAAACCCTATACAGGATCACTATGGATTGAAACCAACTTGAAGGCACTTAATAACAACAGCAACATAAACTAATGGAGTCCTGGTATTGCATCTAAGGATAAGAACTGGATTACAAGGTCAGTTTGAACTGCAAGGTCGGCGGTTCAAACTCACCAGCTGCTCCTCAGAAACCCTATAGAAGGTTGCTATGAGTTGGACCTGACTCAGCAGCACTTAACAACAACATATACATATAATAAATGAAAATAATTTGGAGTAAGAATAAAGATTATATTTCTCTGATAATTATTTCTCTATCACATATTTTAAATAAACATTGGTTTAAAAAAAGGAAAACAAAAGAGGTAAGACAACAAAATAGTTTAAAGATAAAACACTAGAAACTTTAGAAAATCTTATGTATTAAGGTATTTTATTGTTATACTCTTATTATAAATTTCTTTTTGTAGGGATAAAAATATTCAGGAGAAACCCTAATAGGATTTTGATAAAACATTTTTACACTGTATTTAAAATGTTAGCCACATTCTTGTAAATAAAAACAAGTTTCATACAATAGTAGAAGTATTGCTTCAAAGTATCAAGGATCAATTAAATAATTAAATATATGTAAACTATATATTCATATAGAAATGAAATAATATGAATGACTGTTAAAAGACCAACAAAAATTCGTAACATTAATTCACAACTTTAACACCATGCAGTTCTTACTCTATAAGCAACCTGTGTACAAATAACACTACTCTAAACAGTGGTTGCATGGAAGACACCATAGAAAGCTAACAAAGGCAAACCGGAGCTATTAAAAATTCTGTTTAGAAGGTAAAGAAAGAAAGAAGCTGTGAAAAGTAGAAACAATGAAAAGTGCAGTTTAAGGGATGTGATCAACAGGGCACTATTCTGCCCAAATTATTCTTTACTACGAGAATTTTTCTTAAACGTACTGAAAATCCATCATCCATTTATCAAAATGAACACCTCTGAAACAGTCAACAATACTTCAATCTGTTTGTGTTTCCTGAAAACCTAAATAAAATGAACTACAACTGGAAGGAATGTAAAGGATTGAGCCTTTCATATGGTAGTTTCCCCAGATTTATTTCTCCCAAAATCTTCCACTTTTTCAAAACTATTTGCCTTCCCTCCTGCCCAATCAACACTGTCATTAATTGGTCTAGCACAAAATATATCTTTACTTACTTCTTCAAAGAAACTTACAGTCATAGGAAGTAACAGCATCTTTTAGAAACAATCAACACAGTTGAAATTTATTATTTAATAGTAGAGAACAGAAAACATTTAAAGTCTTCTTTAAAATAACTTCCATCTACTTATAACTTGCTTTTGTTTTAAATGTCACCATCACATATTCTCTTTAAGAGTACCTAACTTACTACAGGAGTCCTGGCATGGTGCTATGGATTAATGCGCTGGATTGCCGAGTGGGTTTGAACCACAAAATCAGCAGTTCAAGCTCATCAGCCATTCCTCAGAAACCCTATATAGGCTGGAACCGACTCAATGGCACACACAACAACTTACTACACATTCAGTAGAGAAAATAATAAAAACATTAATTCAGACTGGTAAACATATGTTTAAATAAAATTTTTTAACATAATATTCATCAACTGATTCTTACTTTGCTTCAACTTATGGAAATCACCAACTCTATCCTTGGTAGCCTGCTTTAGAACATCTGTTTGAATTCTGGGTTCACTCTCCACATTTGGGCCTGGAATTAAAGGCTGAAGAGGATTGGAAGGTATTTGATTTGAAGTACCAGGGTTCCCATTGTGGTTTATGTGTGAATCTATGGTGGGGAGGAAAAAAAAAAAAACCAGTAATAAAACAAATATTAAGATAATATTTTTACATAAGAATTTCTTAAGACTTGCTTCAAAAAGCTTAGATAGATTTTTACCCAATGGTAGTCATGTTGCTTTAAAAAAAAAAAAGCTTTATTTTTATTTGTCAACACAAACTTCCTTAACAAAAGTCATTTCAGCTGCCAGAAGTTTACTAACTTTTCCCAGGTAAGTATCTCTAATACTGAATATAAACCTACTTTTCAAAGGGATATAGAGCAGAAACCCAAAGATTAAAATGGCAATAATATTTATATTTTTCCTTCCACCCAAACTCCGTATTTCTGTGAGAAATCTTCACACTCCAGTAAGACTTCTGAAATTAGTAATCTCTAAATCATCTTCATCTATAGAGTGACTAATAATTATTAATTCTTCATTCTTTCTTATCAGTTTCACCTGGATTGTTGTTGTCAAGTGCCATCGAGTCGGAACCGACTCATAGCGACCCCATGCACAGCAGAACGAAACAGTGCTCGATCCTGGGCCAACCTCACCACCGCTGCC